ACCCACCCACGGTTTACTGTAGGGGGGAATCATCTGTTTTAATCATTTATTCGATTCGATATTTATTTCTTCTTTAGGTGGATTCCACAAAGTCCTCTTCACACACAAAAAATAGCAATTCAGATAAACAAGTTAAAATCACACAGTACCGATAAAACAAGAAAAGACAAAAAAAAGAGTCAAATATAAAGATGGGGAAATAAGTGAATGACTATATATGAAATAGACAATCGTTACCATGAGAATTAAAAAATAAATTCCCCGAAGTGGTTATTTATTTTAGTGATTTTTATTGTTTTCTTTGTGCGTCCTGATTTTGTAGAGGCCTGGAGCCTTTCTATCCTCATAATAAGTTTACCAATTTATATCGTCTCTCGTATCGACGTTTCGATCTCTTATTAACTGAGTATCTTTGTTGTTTTTATATGCCACTCCTCATTTAGAACTTAAACAAACCAAATTACCTTAAAGGGGGTACAAATAAAGTAACCTTGAACCTTCAAAACACACAAGATTCCAAAATAGCAATAATTAAAAGTAACATCTCTGTGAGATTCACCTTTTTAATGACTTTCTGAAGCAAAAACTACTTTTGATGTTGGCGGGACAGAGGAGAACAGCTCTCAGTTCACTTGATTATACCTTTGACAAAAACCAATATACTGTTTTTTCACCAAATAAGTGTGGTGTATTGTTCCAAATGACATTCTGCATTAATAACAGATTTTAATTTAGCCTCCAGAGTCAGACAACATAATAGTGTATACAGCTAACACATTAACAATGAAGAACTAATCTTGCTGCTGTTATGTGCAATTTGAAGGGTTTTCAGATCTGACAGAACATCAGTCACAACAGAAGATTGAACATTGAAACGACAATGTCTTTGTAAGGGTTTCTGTGTTTTCTATCATTGTAAGTAGAATATCTTTGGCCCTGGGAAATTGTGATGGTCAGTTTTCACTACTTTATGACATCTTACATTCAATCGATTGGTTAATACAAAAGAAATAATTGTTGGATTAATTAGTTACAGTGCTAAAGGTCTCTTTTAGGACTGTAACAGAAAGGGTTTTTGTAGCAAGTGAGGACAAATTCAGTAAATCACTGAACCACTTACAGCTTGTAAGACATGCACTAGATGTCAGTGTTGTCTCTACTACACTCAAGAAGGATCTGCATCACCCTGACTTCAAATAAGTTCACAGACTCATCCTGAAAGCATTCCCTCACCGTGTGACCGATAATCATACTGAGAAATTAATGACAAATTAATACATTCCACGATAGAAACATTTGAGAAACATTAGGAAACAAAACCAAAAATTCTGATGTTCCATTTTGACTTTTCTGATTTTCTTGGATATAAAGACCTTCTTGTTCCCAGCAGGACAAGTGGACCGCTGTGAGGGAAAACACATTGGACAAACTGTCCCATGAGGAGACAATGACTCAGCCTCTGCAACAATCATGTGGAATGTAGCTGAGAACATTTGTTTTACTTCAGTAGTTTTGGTGAACTTGTACTTGGAGTATTTCCATTTTATTCCACTTGTACTATATAAATACTTCTACATCTCAGAGGGACACATTGCACTTTTAATCTTCTACATGTCTTTGACAGCTGTAGTAAGAATTACTTTGCAGACTGAGTTTACATGCTGCATTACGAGTATGGTAGTTTTTAGTGGTACAGTGGTACCGTATGATGGAGCACCAACTTGGCATTTGCTAATTAGTCTGACAGTGTCAGGCTAATCACAGTGAGTGTGTGATAATAACCTTTAAAATGTCTGTTATTTTTACTTTCACTCGCTATGTTTTTTTTACATACATTTTAAGTCATATAACATTTTTAAAGAGATTTTAATATGGGTGGTACTGGGATCATGAGTGTGCCTTCAAACAGTTCAACAGGGGTAAAAAACCTCTAATAGACAATAATGTGTTGTAAAGTACATTTGTCCAAATCTTTCTTGGTGAATATTCCCAGCTGCAACGTTTTAGAAACAAACTTCACAGTTTCCATTTTGTAAATTCAGATTTTTTTGTTAGAAAATCAAACTTCATCTCCACAGTCTTTATCTAAATCGGATAAACACATTAAAGAATCTTTAGACAATGTGGACACAGCTGCACAGTTTTCCAAATATTTTAATACCTGGAGGCTGGTTAAAAAAAAAGACTTTTAGACATCAACAGCAGTCACATTATCTCTGTTTGTACACAGAAACTTCTTCAGCTGAAAATCTTCCGGAACTTCGGTTTGAGCATCTCCAGATTGCTGTTGCCCTGCATCTTCTCTGCCAGGCTATTCACCTTCTTGATCACCTCGTGAGCTTCGTCGAACAACTTTTCGCCGAGCTCCTTCTTCAGTCGGTCCCTCCAGGCGATGAGCTTCGGCCGGCCTTCAAACACATCCAGTCCAGTTGCAATTGGCTGCAAAACACACAGAAACACAACCTCAATACACAAGCTTTTAAAAAAGAAGATAATATTGTAATTACATGAAAGGTATAAACCAGAGTTTCTCAATCTTGGGGTCGGGATCACTAATGGGGTCACTACAATGCAGACACGGTCTTTAAAATAGATCGTAATTATCTCATCATAATGCATTCTCAGCTCCCACAATGCTATCAATTCTGGGTTGTACCCTAAATTAGTATTATAAATCAGAGGTGTCCAGTGGCCGGGTGACAGTTTTATTCCAGCTGCAGAGCTTTGTTTTAAGTCATAGTGCTCTTTTCCTCTCAGCTTTTCTTTTCTATATCTCACCATAAAAAATAAAAATTAATGAAATTACATCAATCGTTTGTTTTAGCTCAATTTCTGAGGACAATTTTAAATGAAATTACTAAAGTTGTGTTAACAGATTCACTATGCTATATAAATAAAGTTTTCAGTCACATTTACTTACCAGTAGCAGTTCTGTTATAGTAGTAAAAACAGTAACAGTCTTACCTGCATGATCTCAACTATTGCCACCAGGTCAGCCAGAGAGATTTTGTTGCCAAGGATGAACGGTTTGTTCTGCAGGAACTTCTCCTCCAGCATGTTGAGCGACTGATTCAGATCCTCGACAGCAGCGTCCATCTTCTCCTTCGGGACCTCAGAGTCCATGATGACAGGAAACAGAGCCTGTTCAGAGACACACACATAGATCAATCCGACTTTAGTAGTACTGGCAGCAGCAGTCAGTGTAGTTGTTGTTCCAACTAACAGCTGCAAGTGATTCCTGATTTACTGAGCTGCTAGCACGACTGAAAGAGACTAAGATTCTGTGAACCACAGAGGACAAACACGATCAAAATATAATGTCAATATATTTAAAGATATCTTAAGCATACATGTATATATAAACTGCAAATGATACAATAAGCAGCAGCAATTAAAACTTTCAGTGCTACAAAAAGGAACAAAACAAACAAATGAACTCGTTTCTGAAATGTGTGTACTGAAGTAGGTCAGATGAGGATACAACACCGGGTTGATCTGAGACTCGTACCCTGAGCAGGAAGACCTTTGACCCATGAGCTCTGAGGTTCGTGTGCTGCCAGGACAGGTATTCATTAACACGAGCTCGCTGCTGCAGGTCAGCTGGATACCAGTGATCTGCCACTGATGATGAATATTTCTGCACCATGTACTTCAGGATCGCAACGCTGCAACACAGACAGCATGAGAAAAATAAGTGAAATAAATGAATGTTCAAACATGACAAAGAATCAGATGAGGTGTTTGTGAAACAGTTTCACTTCAATAATGTTGATCTGCACTGAAAACAGTCAACCAGCTAACATGAATCATTTCTGATGTTCAAGTAATGTCA